ACGCTGCTAGTGAAGGAAGGAAATAAATCTCATTTCCACTACTAGGAATTATGTAATATTGTTAATTTAAAGTTAATTGAAAGCAAATTATGAAAATACCTATTGTTGGTAATTGTATGCACAATGGATATATTCATGCTTTGTAGCAATTTAAAAAAAAATCTCGAAGGAACCTTTTATGAAATGCTTATTTCTTATATATTGCAATGAATCACATCCACGATAAATTGATGCTGTTGCCAAATGAGGATGTATAACTTATTTAAAATAGGTTTATAAAATAGGTTTCTGACTCCCTATAAATAGTGAACATTAAAAATTTTTAATCGCACTTCTTGGGCACACTGTCCTTTGCATCCAAAAGATATTTTGATACATATATTCTGAACATATTGGTCTAACTTACTTTTTTCATTACATTCCAGCAAACAAAGTAAAGTTAAATGATGATATGCCAGCATCCTCTATGATATTATATATTCTAAAATGCAAAATGTAAAAATACTCGTGAGCAAAATTAAAAGTAGGTTCAAATAGAAGGGTTTTGAAAACAGGGAAAGGTAGCACTACGAAAGGCGGCGGTCCAAATATGAAGAAGGCAAACATCTACTTGTATTTTTAATCTTAAATATTGTTCCAAATGATAATATCCTTTTTTATATTTTTGGTATAAGTAGAATTTTTAAACTTAAATTTCGAAACATAAAAAGAGGAATAAACTGCACTTTTAAAACCGAAATTCATTTTGAACTTCTGTTTCGTTCGGAACTTCAAAAATACGTTTGGCTTGGTTTCTTTGATTATGGCAATATACGCTAGATTTATTTGTCTAAAGAAAGGAATGCCTTCGTGGAAGACTTTCTAAGGAAAACTGGCTCGTGTCTTTGGTACACATGGGGAAAACCTGGAAAGCGCAAATACTGCTAGCCCGTTTGCCTGGAATTGAACCTAGGTCGACTTCGTTCAGCTGAGTGGTAAAAATGGCCGACAATGTTCGGCCATTTTACCACTCAGCCGCTGGTGGGCCTTAAAAATACATAAATATGTAGCTTTATGAATTGTGAGCATTAAAGATGATATTCATTTTTTTAAATCAGTTTTCGAATAGTTGAGTAAATGATATTATTTTAAACTTGTGTTTCTTTATCTTCTATAAACGAAGTCACGGTAAATAGTTAATAATACAACCTTCAATAATAATATATCTTTATGATATTTCATAATCTGAAATTCAAAGTACAAATATACTCGTGCCTAACATTATGGGAATAAATAGAAAAAGGTAGAGAAGTAGTAATATTCCTGAAAAAATGTGTGCATTCTTTTCATGAAATATCTAAGCGCTATAGACCGCAAAACGCAGTATTTCATGCTGCAAATGGCGTTTTATCAAGAGTGAGATTTGTACTATAATTAAAAAATTTAGCGAAAAATGTTATGTTGCAAAATTTGCTATATACCGAAAGAATCCTTGCGTATGATTTCTTCAAAATTGTTTCATCTGTTCTTTCAGATTTAGCTTGATCTAAGAGGTTGGATTAGTAAGTCTGTTAAAGTGCAATGTTAAAAACGGTAGCAGTTTAAAAAAATAGAAATGCACCTCGTCGTTTCTGTACTGAAACATCGTGGATTACAATGATAGAGTATCTTGTATATTAATAGATCAGCATTATGTAGACACGGTAAGCACGGTACAGCTGGGCATCTTGCCAGAGATGTTTCAAAGTTTCTTGTAATAATCACGCGGACAAAAATTTCATACCTATTGGTTCACTGATTGCAAGAGTAAAGTCTTTGCACTTAGCAAGTGTTATGGATATTTACAATTTTAACTACAGTTCAGCGAGAAACAAATATAGCCTAAAAGAAATAACACTTCTCGTGGAAAGTTCGTTGACGACAGTTTATTTAAATTCTCGAAATCACTGAGCATTAATTTATGCTGCAGAGTGATTAATTTTGTGTTTTCATTTAGAAACCTTCTGAAAGGTCCAACATTTTTAAAAGCTTCGTTTTAGACGCTAGACTAATGTTAGAAGCTAGACGAATGTTAGAACCAAACTAAATGTTAGAAGCATGATGTTACTCTTCATCTTCTGTTCTCTAAAATCAAGAACAGTAGATGATAGCAACTCACATGAATGGGAATGTCATTTCCTAAAAATATGTTCAACTGCTCAAGTTTCTATGGGATATGAATTCTTTTTTATGGTTAAAAAACGCGTCGTCATCAAACAATTATATCACAGGACCGCGTGAACATTTACAGTGGCCAATTTTCTCATTCGATTTCCAAACACTGAGCGTGTACGACACATCTTCGGATTATGTCTTGCAGGTATGTCAATGATCCTCTGTAACTACCGGAAGATTTACACCATTCGGATGCAAAAATGGAACTCCATATTTGTAGAACAACTTGATAATTTTATTCTGAATTCTTTCAAACATTGTAATGCATGTGTCTGTACGGTGGGCTAATAGGATAATTTATTACATACTAAGATATTTATTTTACCGTGATACAACTGCGTATTGTGTGGAACTTGCAACTATGAAACTCCATAGAGTTGTTTACCTTTAGTCTGGCTTTCAAGCCAGAATGCTTATTGTTTCCTTAGCTTTGAATTATTACTTAGTACAATATAGACTATAAACAAACATTTTTCTTGCTATCCTGATGGTAAAAGGATCGAAACTTATATTAAATTTAAATTCAATATAGCTGCTATTAAAATTCTATTTTTCTATATACTTAAAAATATTTTTATTAAATTTATAATTGTATCTAACAATTACTAATCCCCAACTTCACTTCCGAAATAATTATTATTTTAAAAAAAAAAAATTTAGTTTAGTTTAATTTTTAATTCTTTTTTTTTTTTTTTTTTTCAATTTAAACCCATTTTATTTATTCTGTAATGAAAATTACTAATTTTATCCTTGCTTTTATACCTTCCTCCATTTCCATTTTTTACTGTTGTAACTAATAGAATTTTTATTTTCCATTTCATCAAACTACCAACTTACTACTAAATTCGATTGAGTACCTGAAGTCGATTTTCTTCTGAACCACATGGAACACTCACAATGAAATAAAGGAACATTTTTGTCACAGGTTTTTAATTCCCTTTTTACTATTACATCCAATACATTACTAACTCATTTTCGTTTATAATTTCAGGCCTGTTGCCTTTTGAAATATTTTCCAATTTAGTCTTGTATCTTCCCATTCTTAATTAAAACTACTGTTAACGGCCGAGAGGTAGAATCGCTAACCGCTGGTAGTTCCGACTTGATGTCGGTTCTAGGCTAGCTGCATGACGTTTCCGTGTTTTTCCCCATTTCCAACGTGTATACTAGCCAGTTGTTTCTTTGAAGGTGCTCCACGAAGACATCCTTCACCTTAGGCTAGATAGCCTTTGTGTGCTTTGCCATAATCAACTAAACCAAACTAAAATTATTTATGTTCATTTTCCTAAATTTTGACTTTAAAAGTTTCATTTCTTTTAATTTCCAACAGTTTCATAGCAGTTTTGCCATTTATTAAGTTCAACATTTATTGAAAAATATTAAAATAGCTAATTTCTTCTAATTGGACCAATCGTTTTCTGGTTTCTAATTTCAAGAATTCTTATTTTGTTATAATGTTATATCTTGATTATTAATTAAAGGAATTAACTTAATTTTAATAAAATGTTTTTTAATTTAATGGCCATGAATTTACCTAACATTACATTAAATTTGTTTATTTTTGCATTTATTTTGAATTGTTTATTAATTTGTTTGTATATTCATCCAGATATAATTAAAAACCTTGGTCCTGTTGAAAACTTTTCGGCTTCTCCATGTAAAAAGCCCCAAAATTTTCAACTGTTATTACACTGCTATATTATCATATTTATATTGAATTATTTGATTTTTATATCAAGTTTGATTTATGGTCTCCTACTAGATAGGTGGCCGCAGAGTCTCATTTAATTATTATATTTTGATTATTTCATTAATTTCGCAGCATCTTGTGCGAATTTAATATTAATTTAATAATATTAATTTTGAAATTTCTAAAATCTTCTTTATATGTGTGTGTTGAAAATTTGACTTTGAAGTGAAAGAAATTAAAAACCAAATTGTAGCTAAAAATAAAAAAATTAAAATTTAATGCTAATACGTTACCAAGATTAAATTTATTTTGGGACATCTTTTCCCAAAATTTCGTAAAAACCTTATCAGGCTAGCACAGCCACTACTGGTAGTAGCTCCTACGTTATTCAAATTAGTAATCCATTATATAAATTCTTGCAAAATATTAGTAACAGTGCAAACAATTCGCCATTTTTTAGAATTAATTCTCAGATTTTAAATTTGTTAAGAAACAAAACAGTATTTCCAATTTTTCTTTTGATTTCAAAGGGTCCTTTTTACTACTAATCATATTTCTGATATTACAGGTGTTTCTTAAACTTTATGTATTAATTATTATATTAATATTCATATGACTTTCATAAATAGAAATGAATGATTTATTTGACAATTTGTGATAATTATATTCATTTGTTAGAAATTACCTGCACTGAAATAGCAGAAGGCCATGCTGATAGATAATAGCTTAATTCATATTTGATCTTCTGTAGAAAAAAAAATCTTGTAAACAAATTCTGTAACACTTCAATATTTTTTAGTACTTTAACTACTTCAAACACAAATCAAGTAGTTATAGTAGAAATTATATAGATATTATATACAATAACCTGGTTAGAAAAATTTACAATAAGCATAATTGTTTTAATTCTGAAATCATTTAAGTGCCTTTTTGCGAATTCAGTATCCATTTTCCAGAATTTTATATACAGAAATAAAAATTAAATCACAGATCAAACAATAAAATTTGAAATTTTCTTTTCTCTATCTTTGTACCATTTGTTTTTGTTTTCCCGTGTAATTTGTCAATAATTACACAAATAAATACTTAAGCAAATTCATCTGATTAATACATTTTTTATTTTTCAAATCTTACATTATTTAATACACAAAGCACATTATTTAATACACAAAGCACATTATTTAATACACAAAGCACATTATTTAATACATAAAATCTGCTCTTAAGTAGTCAAAAATAAATTTTATTTTTATAAACGTATCACTTTTTAAAAAATTCAACAAATTATTTGGTTAACAATACTTTTTTCATAAATTGTTAAATTTGTACTTAAAAGGAATGAAGCATAAAGATCCTCAATTTAATCAGACACTTTTTCCTTTTAATGGATGTATAAATATTCTAACTGTATACCATATTATTCTGGTACTCGATATTTTGAGATATGAATTCATGATTTGTGACTGAGTGCTATTTTGCAAGTTTTAAATAATAATTTAACTTATTGTTCCCCGATATTCTCTTCGAAATTAAACAGATTTTAGAAATTTAAATAGTTTTTTGCAATTTTTGCTATAAAATATTAATAAGGGAACAAAATTTGAACTGCTATCATTTGGCTGATATCGTAACCAGATACTTCATGTTCGTAATTTGAACTACATTTATAAACCATGCTTTCTAACAATGTTAAAATTTATATCTGAAAGCTCCGCACTACAGCCATAAAATGAATTTTATTTTATACTATCATAAGTATCGATTGCCGTTTAATGCTATAGGAGAATTTCAGGTGAGAATCCAAATTAATCATAAAGTAGTACCGCCTTATAGCTCACTTTTTGTTTTGAAGAAGTAGTGTAATTCTCTCATTTAAGTTTTCTAAAAAAGAGATTTAGCGTTCTTTACTCGGAATTAAGAATTATGTGAGAACTATTTCCTACAGTCTCATAATTTGATTACACTTTCAACTTTCAAACAAGTATAAATAAGTAAGGCAAAGATTATTTAACGGGGATTCCAAAATTTGCGAATTAATTAACTCGAAGTAACCTTTATAATAATAATTTTCTCGTAGAAGAACAAGATGAGCTGCTGTGCAAGCAGCTTTCATATGCTTACTTTAAACATTACAGAAGATTATCATTCTTGCATTGTCCTTTTGCATGGAGTTAAAAGCAAGAGTATTGTGCATACATTTCTAGACTATGTAAAAGGGGAGAATGTTGATACCCATCACTAGCAAAGAAACAAATATGCAGAAGTGCATAACATTAGCCAGTCGTACTTAATGCTTGCTAACATCAAATAGTTTGAAAGATTCATACTACTTCCGTAGAAGTCAGCTGATATCTGCCTATTCGTATGCGGCTCAAGCACATGCCCATTTCACTACAACAAGGACCCATGCAGGAATCTAGTATGGCAGACAGGTACTGGCGAACAACATAGCAGTTCATGCGCCAATGTCGAAGCGCTGGACCAATGCACCAGATGTGTTGAAAAGTGAGGCAGGCAAACGAGCAACCCACAATGAATGCAATGGGCAGTGCGCAGATGACGGTGAGGGATTTGTAACAACAGTTCTTGGTGCACGTGAAAAGTCGATGAGAACTCTTCCATACACAATCAAATGAGTATGTTCCTTCAGGTTCTGCTATGACGTCATCGAATTCAACCTAAAACGAGAAAAGTCATTTAATTTTATGTATGAATTAGACATACCTATATACATACAAGGTATACATATTATACATACATACAGTAGACGCTGCTTAATGTGATCACGTTTGTTCACGGCTACTTTGATTAAAGTACCCTAATGATTTCAAAATAGTAATGGAATTTAACTAATTTAATACAAAAACATCAAGAACACATAGGAGATTTCAGTCTTTTAATTAGAAAAATTTTAAAGTTTGTTGGACTGTTCATTGGAAAATATTTGTTCGATAATGTGCTTCTAATTTTAATATTCAGAAGCTATCCTTCGCTCGAAGAGAACATACCAATATGAAATTTTTAGTTAAGCAAAAATGCGGCCTTAGTTTGCCGTAGATGTTTTCAGAAACTTTTTTTTTTTTTTTTTTTTTTTTTTTTTTTTTTTTTTTTTCAAGAAAAAAGAAAAACAAAATTTTAGATTTCTTTTTCCTCCAGAATTAGAAAAACTTATATCTGATCGTCCTCAAAAGCGACAGAGTTATTCAAAAACACATCAAAATAAATTTGCTTTTTGCCTGGTTGCCTGAAATAGAAAACAGACTTTTCGGCCATTTAACCACTCACTTGGCGACATTTTCTTACTTAGCAATTTTGCAATCGGAAATGAATGAAATATATTCCATAAATTACTGTTAGTGATAAAAATAAATGATCAAATTTACAATACAAAAAACAAAACGAAAGTCGAAAATAAGTACTTCGTGTGTCCGCCACGCTGAGCGATGAGAGTCTGTACACGTCGTGGAATTGAATCATTCAGGTTATGAATGTAATCATGGGGAATGTCATTCCATATGTCTTCGACGTGATGCCAAAGTTCAGTCTTAGTGAGTATCTCATCATCTGTACGAGAGAGTCGCCAACCGATGAAATCCTAGACATGCTCAATGGACGCTGAATATCTGGGGAATAAGAGGGCCATGAAAGAAGAGAAACCTGTTGTGCTCTAAAGACTGCTTGTGCAGTCTGAGAAGCATGTGCCCCGATTAGCCTGCTGAAATACGTCCAAGAATGAGAAGAACCTCTGGTTCTGGGATCGACAATTATATCCAATAACTCCCCACAACGTGATGCAATGCACGCCACGCACTGTGTTGCCATACCCATTGAAATCGGAAGCGTATGTTATTTAGCGACAGGGGAATTCCTGCGTAGCAGTACCCTTGCACGCAGTTCATGATGCAGCAGACAACGACAAATCGTTGAGCTGGACAACACAGCACCAGTAGCCGTGCTCCAAAGTTGTGTTAACACACGAGAAGACGCTGTGCGATGCGTCACTGCCATGCGGATGACGAGATATCCGTCGTCCCATCCCGTTGTCGTATGGCGTACTCCACCGCCAAGATTTCGCCTTGTTTGGTTCTCCGCTGTCCATTTCTTTCAAACAGGCATCACTGTTGTGGAATTACGCTGCGTGCGAGCTGCGATTGCTCGACACGATTGTCCTCCTTCTCGCATAGTGAAGATGCGCATACTGAAGATTGTAACGTACAGAGCGTTGCCAAAGTCCGCAGACTGGCTTCTGTATTTGCAGACCTAAATAAACGTTTATATGCTATAAGAGTCTTGCTAACTGAACCTTACTCTGCTGGATAGATCTTTACTTGAACTGTGAAGCGACTATTCGCTAAGTTCAAAATTGCTTTAATAACAATACGTATGAAGGATAAAAAGACCTTTTTATTTAACTAAAAAAAAGGATATACAGTCGGCACTCCTGATGCTTGCAAGTTTAGCCAATACTTTTGGCTGCAACTCAGATAGAAATATAAAATTAAAACTGAGTTAAATAATCAGCCGAAGCTACGCAGAGATAATTAACGTGAGTTGGCTCTTAGCGCTAACACCGACGTAGACAAACCGGCAATTGATACCCACGTTGATAAAATAGCAATTTTAAATCAGCGAAACAACATGGCCGAACGGCAGAACATTACTGAAATCATTTTCATAAAGTGCGAACGACATTGTGTATTCATGTAGTATAATCATATTTGTTACTATGTTATGCAACGGCAGCTATACTATGCAATGTATTATCACCATTACTGACAAGAATATTCTTCAGTATCATATGAAAGATTCTGTTATTATGAAAGATTGCTTCCGAACTAACTGTAAAATGGAGGAATTTCCTAAAAATCTCTATTAATATCAATAGTAGCAACGGCCAAGGTATTTCAAAAATTAAGACAAAATTAACAAGCTTTCTTATTTATTTCAAGGCGAGGTTTATGAGACGTACGAAGAACAAAAACAGTATTTAAGTAACCATTTAGACAATGAAATGCATGAAAATGCATTTTAAAGTTACTCAATGATTTATCCTAAGCTTTCGTTTTGCAAAGATTAGAGAAACCTTACTTTAGTTAAGAGAAAGAAGAAATACTGTACTTGGACATCTGTTTCCATTCCGACTTTTCATCGTTTAGATATATCTTTTTAGTTATTAATTCAAGCAAGTAAGTATTAAACCAGGTATAGCTGCTATTGAAAAGTTCTCTACAAATATTATTTCTATAGTAGTTTACTTTTAGAAGACTACATTCTCCTTTCTTTCTTATTAATAAAGAAGACAACTAAGGTTTTCTAAAGCCTCTAGACACTTTTAAAAGTTTTTTTAAAAGTGAGAGAAATAAGAAATCAACTATTCTCTGGCCAATATTCGAATACAAATATTCCTGGACAATTACAAACAATAGCTGAAGTAGTGGAAGAGTAGTACACTACGCTTACTTCACTAGACGGACAAGAGTGCTAAAATTAATTTTAAGCTATATATTATATTATTTTTATATTTGGAATTATATTATCTCTGGATAAAATTATCCAGGGATAAAGAAAAAAAGCATAGATCTTTCACTTAGTATTAGAAGCACTTAGCATTAGCATATTTTTTATTTTTATTTAATTTTTTTTATTTATTTAAAGAAAAGGAAAACCTCGTGCAACACAACATATCACACGATACTCAGTGAATACATACGGATATAAAATGCGAAAAAAGAATATAGCAGGTTGTCAAATATACACCAACTTAAGACAGTAAATCATTTTTCTCATCATCACTGATGATTCATTTCATTTAAAAAGCTATTATGAGATGTAGAATTAGCTAGCTTATCTATGTGTGCAGTAGATTCAGAAGAAAAGTGTACTATGATTTGAATTTAAGAGAAAGTTACATATATGCCCATTTTTTGCGTGAAATGAAGTAATGATAAGAACAAAAAAGAGAGGAACAATTGCTATATAAAAAACAGGACTAGAGAACGATAAAAGACTTGCACAAATATAAACCAAATCTGCGTTTCATTGCTGCATCCACTTACATTTGTAGAGCTGCAATTAGCAACACCTGGATGCACAGTCCTGAAATCGCGATGGGAATATTTCAGGAGACTCCATGCATTTGAGGCGAATTTATCAAAGGAGAAAAATAAACTAATTATTAAATCAATTAGTGCTTTCCGGCTCAGAGCTTAACTGAACATGCATTATATTTATAAATTAAAAATTATAAAACTAATTTTAAGAATGAAATAAATTTCAGTTAAACACATTTTTGTGCATTTTAAAATTCTTAATAAATAATAATTATTATTATAAAACGGAGGATGATCGTGTTAATTAACTTGCATGGAAATGAATTTGATGAATGATATACGTAATAATGTAAAAACAAGCACGCAAATATAGAATCCATATGAATTTCTTCTTCTTTATCGTAATCTTAATTAAGTCGTCACTGATAACATACTTTCCTTGCGTGCAAATAATATCTTCGTTAGTACGTTATTCACAGTGTAAACGGGAATGAAGAAGCAACATCGAAATCGATTCTTGGATCATTATTAATGTGTCATTACTAAACGGATTTGTCTCTTACAACCTAGCGAAAGCTACTTCGGATTTGTCTCTTACAACCTAGAGAAAGCTACTTCCAATTAACATCCTTAGAGCATTCATCAGTAGAATCTATTCCGTGCTGGAAACTTCAAACTAGAAGACATATCGCTTACATTCGAATTACCAACCAGTTGAATCAGGAGAAAATGAAACCTTATCGATCATTTCAGTGACTTTATGAAGGTGGGGTACGTATTATCTATCATACGCAGGCTATGTAATCCATTTGAACACTGGTTCTAACTCGATAGCTGAAACGTAGTTGTCTAAGGCTGATATTAATACAATAATTTGTTAGTTCTGGAAAACTTGGCTATTGGTTAAAACCAGCAAATTTTACATTATTCCAAAATAATATTCAGTTATAGTTTTCGATGTCTAAGGAACTAGGTGAATAGATTATTAAGGTAGCAGGCATTTACATTTTAAAATAAATGCTGTTATTTATTTTATAATTTATCTTTGCTGTAAAATGAATATAAACGTATAGAGATTATATGACGAATTTTGAAGATTTAATGTCATCCAACACATATCTAAATATTGTTTGCTTTCGAAAACATTATCTTCGTAGGTTTCTGCCTTTACCATAAAATGCAGAAAAGTCTTCTCATAATTATTTTATGCCTCAGTTCAATACAGATTTCTGTATGTGTCACATAAAAGGATGAAATAATAACTTGCCTCCCACCTTTCAATATTTACATATTCACTGTGTATGTGGAACGTGTTATCCTTAAGTTACAGTTCACTATTTCTGCGAATTTATACGCAAATTCGCCCTGAATGACAAAGCATTCAAACATTTTTGGGCTCTGTAGATTGGCATCTTTGATTTCTGTATAACATGCTCAACCTAGTGAATAAATGTTTGAGTGTAAAAAGCTACAAAAGAGCCACCTGCTTAAGTGACGGACGTTTTCGTGGAATATTTTCTAAAAGGAACTGGCTCCTGTTTGCCTTAAGAAAAAACAAACATGAACACAAACTATAAGGTATTTCTCCCACTTTCCTAGCGTGCCTTCGTGGTGTTGTGGTTCTGCCC